ATATCCTTATAGTGATAGTATCTACATACTTATTCATTTTAATAATTCGGAAATTACTCGTTAAAATAACGGGTTTGATGCATCAAATTGAATCTTTTCCCTTAAACGTATAAAATTTCCTACTTTATGTGACTACCCTTTTTTGGGGGGACGTCAGTGAGACAACAAATATCTGTGCAGAAATCAGAAATTGAATCAATTCAAAATATTATATATATATAATAGTATAAATTATGATTTATAAATATCAACATTTTCTCATTGTCAGTTTACCATCCAATACCAATACATATCACCTCTCTAGTTGCTTTTAAAGTATCATATTTAAAATATGTACGATGATACGTGGGTACCTCTACCTGTTACAATTTTCAGTGACGAAAACAAAATATGTATTCTATGTATAATTATTTGTAATTTTCAATTCTCAGATGGTATATCTACTATTAGGTGATTATCAAAATATATTTTGAGAATCAATGACCTTTTATCTACCATAGACCATAGCCCATAGGCATACTGTTTATGAGTATATAAAATTGTTATAATTTTTCATGATTTTTGTTTTAAAAATAATTATTACAATACACTTACAAAAAATATCCAAAAGTAACATTGTTTAAAATTATTAACTATTTGATTGTCATAATAATAGGGCTATAAGAAAATAATTATTTTGAGCGAAATGTAAAGTTTTTTGTTTGACTTAATGATAAGGCTTTTACCATTTTTACCTACCTGTGTGAAAAGTAAGTTTAGTTTTAGCAATTGATCACTGGGTAAAGATATTATTTCACTTTAAAATCGAACCAATAATAATAATAATAATAATATAAAATATAAATATAAACATATATTATAAATATTGTTTATTTAAAATATTATAGAATATTGTACAACTACTTCATATAGTAAAAATAAATAAAAATAGACAATGTTCAACGCTACATCTCATATTACATTTGTATACTTAATACTTATATTATTACATCAATTAATTCTAATATTGACTCAGAAGCTACCGCAGCACTATTGGACCTACGAAAAAGTAAATGTGCTATGATGGACTAAGATAATAAATTTATTAGTGAAGTTTTCTAAAGCAGTAATCACACGGAATAGCAGATAAGTAGTTCATAAATTATAATATTAATCTATTATCATATATTATTTATATAATCGTTCTATACTGTTTTGACCATAATATAACCATATAAATAAATGTACTAGGTAAATAGAATATCGTATTGCCCGTATAGGAATTATTAAATTGTATATTATAGAAAATCAATCGTATACATTTAAGGGGATTGGAAGCGGCGATTTTCTGTCTTTATCTAACACACGTGGAACATAGGATTATAGACGTGTTCTATGTCCAACGTACCGATTAATCTAATGAAGCGATAAGAATTCTGAAAACAGATTTGAATTTGTCGTCAAGTCTACTTGAGATCGACTTTCCCACATTTTTGATATTGTCCCACCAAAATCATAAAAATGATATATTATAAAAAGTACTTAAAAAATTTACAAATTTCAACTTTTGGAGAAGTTTAAATCAAAAAATCAAAAATGTGGGAAAGTCGATCTCAAGTAGACTTGACGACAAATTCAAATCTGTTTTCAGAATTCTTATCGCTTCATTAGATTAATCGGTACGTTGGACATAGAACACGTCTATAATCCTATGTTCCACGTGTGTTAGATAAAGACAGAAAATCGCCGCTTCCAATCCCCTTAATGTTTAAATAACATGATATATTTTAATCTATACTTGTCAATTTTTAATTTATTTAGTGTAGATCTTAATATTTTATTTTTTTATCTGAATAATAAATTGTAATGAATAAAACACAAGATTAAAATTGATGAGTTTTTACGTTTTTGGTGTAATATATTATTATACATATAAAGTAACTTGATTTTTTGTGGTATACCTAACTTAATAGGTACTTCATATACATCATCAGTGTTAAATCCACAGACAGACTGTAAAAATATAAAAGTCTGTCGTTCTATTACATCTAATTGTATTTTAATCACCGAGATAAATAACCATGTACAATATTGCTATCTCGGTGATAATAATTAATAATCAGTAGGTGTACATAACTCATACCTCAAATGTCATAATGTCATATTATAATTTATATAGTCATATTATGTGGACAATTATAATATAGCTAAGCAAAATTATACACAAAACAAACACTACGATATGTTTATCATACCGAGCTACATTAAAATATATACCTAAATACCTAATTAATATTAATAATTATTAATTATTAGTTATTACTTATTAGAGTTATTACTGTTATTAGTAAGTGGCAAATGTTGTTGTTGGCATTTTAAATGACACTGAGAGTTGTAAGATTTTTATTTTACATTCTGAGGAGCTGGAAAAATTTAATTTCGATAGATCAATGAACTTACTTTGGCCGAAAGGTGTTCAGCACGATAAAGTATTATTGTTTCTTAGTGACGCTGCCCCCTATATGGTGAAAGCTGGAGAAGCCATTAAATTATTTTATTCAAAAACTATACACATTACTTATTTGGCCCATGCATTTCATAGAATTGCGGAAACTGTACGAGTAGGATATCCAAAAGTTGACAAACTTATCGCAAATATGAAAAAGGTTTTCCGTAAAGCACCTTCTCGCATTCAATATTTTAAATCAACCCTATCTCTATCCCTACCACCAGAACCAATTTTGACAAGATGGGATACTTGGGTAAACGCAGCCAATTACTACTGTGAACATTTTGAGCAAATAAAATTAATCGTAAATTCTTTTGATGACAACGATGCAGTATCAATAAAAAATTCGAAAAAGTATCTCTCTGATCAAAATATTGAAGCCCAACTTGTAGTTATTAAATCAAATTTTGGATTTTTATCCGAGTTAATTACAAGACTTGAAAAACAAGAAATTCCACTGATAGATTCCATTTCTATTGTCGAAGAAGCAAAAGAAAAATTAATTAAAATTAATGGTGAAATGGGGAAAACAATTAAAAATAAGATTAAGTAGATTGATAATATTTTAATGCATTTTTGCATGCATATTTTCATGATTTTCAATGCAACAACTTCAGAGCCTTACTTATTACTTTTACGGTACCTACATAATAATTGTAACCTAACCTAACCTCTACCTATACGCCGAACAACTGTTAGTACTTAAAATAATGGCGATAACACTTATAATAAATATATCTAAATATAGATCGTAGATGGTAGAAGATATCTACCTATATAATATAATATATTATTATAACTTATAGACTTTAATACCTATGGTACTTAATATAAATGACAGGTAAAAGCCGTGGACCATAATTTGTATAACCATTGATTATAAATACTATATAGTATTTTCCATTTGGTATAATGTACCTTACGTAAATTTGAAAATAGTTGATTAAATATTAAGTACAACAGTATTAAATAATGATGACTTACATTTCGTGTTGTTGTCCGCGTGAACGTTTGTCTCGTTAGAGATTCTGTCATGAGCAACAGGCAGACGGCAGTTATTTTTCGTGCACAAAATATATCACCTGAATACGGAAGTACCACCTGTATTCAAGAAAATAAATCATAAACGATGGTTAAAACTTAAAAGTCTATAGGTATGGAATTTAAATGTAAGCGAATGGGTTTTATTATAATTTTGTTCGCGGTCCGACTGCTATTGTAATATAAAATAAAAGCACCGATCACCTAATACAGTAATACTTAAGTAGGTACGTAAAATAAAATATAGTGAATAAAATGTACATTAATCATTTTTGATCGATCTTTGCGGAAAATGCTCTGTGGCCCACTGTAGGACATAATTACTATAGTATTATGACGTATTGTGTACTTGTGTTATAAATTATATTATTATTTCCTAAATCTGAGAGTGACTTACCGCCGACCAGTCACCAGTGACGACTGACGAGTGACGAATGACGATCTATCTATCATAGATCATACGAATATGCGATAGTGCGATACTCAACGATAGCCGACAAGTATCGGTTTTCGACGAACCGGGCCTAGTTGATGGAATACGATAATATTATTATAAATGTGTGCCGTGCGGTCACGTTTGCGGAAATACGGACTACGGAAATCGTAGTTTGTTCGATTTCATTTCGACTGATAGATAGTAATGATCATGTATGCCTATATTATTGTTAAATTACATATTATATACCTGTGCTACAATAATCGTATAAAATTGCTATATATATGGCCGTACCTACAGGAATGCCCGTTCGGAAATCAGAATTCGGACTTACCGAATGATCGGAACTTGGTAGAAACAAAATTTTTTTTTTCGACGGATAAGTCGACACCTCGGAACAAAATAATATACTACATAATATGTAACCGGTTAACGTCCTGGAGTCCTGGCGTTCTCCCGAAGTGACCAGTGGCGTAGGATGTAGGTAGGCCCGTCGGGCGCCGCGGCTGTGTCCGTCCGACGGATCAGTGGTGCCACCTGACGGCAGCGACGCCGTCGTCAAAAATCAAAAGTCATCAAAGCTAGGGCTGATAAGAGTATCGCGTCGACGCGTCGTTATCATATCGGCGATCCCCGAATCCGACGATAACAACAAGTTACGACGACCGCCCGTCGCCCGACACCCAACTTCCAGAGTCCCGGACCATATGCGGGACACCATGAACCGCGTACTACATCGGCCGGCACCTCGACTTCTCGGCGCGTGACTCATGCGTCCTCGTCGCGGTATGAGTCACGGACAGACGGCGGAAAATATGTCGATTCGCACGATTTTTCGCCACTCCGACGGAGACCTAGTTAATTTGTCGCCAAAAACTATAAACAATCGTACCAAACATAATATTATGGACAACATGCGGCATATGATTGGACGTCGTTTATTGTTAAGTCTGTTCGTTGCACCGGACACGAATAATACGATCAAGACGACACATCTTCTATGAAGGATATCGCTGTTACCTTTAAACGCTCAAAATGCTGCACCTACATCAAAACGGTTCGATAAATAATGGTTACACTGTGAGTACTTGCATTCCAATATTCCAAATAATAACATAATAATATGTATTAGGTACTTAGTTTTTGACCATGGGAGTCCACCCCAACATAACGTCGTACAAATAATCTGAAGTCCGTTATCTGACGACAAGAGTCAAGTTTTGAATTGTACATTTTTTTCCTGACCACTTTAATTTTTTCTTGTTTATTCTTCCTACTTATAATAATTGGACCTGGATCATGGGACTATCATGATCTATATTTCTAAAATTGAGTTTGTGAGAAAATTGTTTTTTTTCCGTTTTCATGCATTTGTAGACAAAACTAATGATCAGATGTGTACCACAAACTTGCGAAATGGTTTAATTGAAATTTATAGTAGATATTTTTATTTTTAGAACTGTATTGCTAGAGCCATGTATGACAACATTGCTGAAGCACCTGATGAATTAGCATTTAGAAAAGATGACATATTAACAGTATTAGAACAAAATACAGCTGGTCTTGAAGGATGGTGGTTATGTTCGTTAAGGGGCCGTCAAGTATATTTTCTATACAATTTACCATGTTAATATGTTTTATATTCCATTATTTTTTTTTTCTAGGGGATATGTCCTGGAAATCGATTAAGACTAATACCAGGTGTGTATGAAGTTACCGAACCCCAAATTATATCATCAAATTGTATCCAAGATCAAAATCATTTCAATCATGAAATCAAGCATCAAAGCTGGCACGCAAACCTGAATACAGTAATAAGAGATTTTATATTTTTTTCAAACTGTTTATCCTTATTATTATGTTTTTTTTTTTATTTTATGTTATTCTAAACAGGTGACGTCACAACAAAAACTGGGTGACCTCCTTACATATGATACTCCTCAAAAAACTGTCGATACTAATGGCTATAATATTCCTCCTATAAATCATGGTAAGCAAATTCTTCTTACTATATTTTACCCATAATTAAATAACAATATTTGTAATATACAAGCTATAATATTATCCCAATATTTTTTTGATTAGCATTAGATCGCCTAACAAGCGATTTTACAAAACGACCACTCAGTGTTGGAAGCAGTAGTGGCTGCTGTAGTGATAGTTATGATCCTCTCCCAAACCAACATCCCCTTGTTTCAAAAGAAAGCTATGATGTACCGAGACAGCTGAATATACAAGTTACTCCAAGTAGTTCAATCAGCTCATTATCAACTGGTGGTATTTGTAGTAGTACAAGCGGAAGTGAATCTAATCGGTCTAGTAGTATTGGACTGGATTATGATATTCCTAGAAACCGAACATTAGCTTCTTTGCCATCTGAATTACAGAATTTAACTATTAGTAGTCAGGTATGAATATATTAGAAATAAATATTTTAAATGTTTTTTATAAAAAAAAAATTTGTATGAAAATAGGACTACGATGTTCCATCAAATAGTTTGCAACCTAAAGAATTATCTATAGACTTGGACTGTGCACTGGAATGCTTAGATAAATTAACATCAGAAGTCTCTTCTAATACTACTCAGCTATTAAATTATGCCGGACCAAATTGGAGGAGCCAAAAAAATTTAGAAGCCAATCTTCTTGATATAAAAATTATATCTTTACGACTTAAAAATAGTTTACACCAATTTATTGTATTTTCAGAAGGATGTCTAGGAAATGCAGTTAATGCTCGTGATAAAGGTATATTTATTATCAAGAATATATTTTATAGTAATAAATAATAATACAAATATCATTGTTTTAGGGATCTCAACTAAACTTCATCCATTAGTATTTGATTTAATGAAAACTGATAAAATGATAAGTTTTTCCACAAATGCTTTGGATTGCCTTGATTGGAAACCACATTTATTACATAGAGAGTCTAACAATGAAAGTGAGTATTCTGAAGACGCCTTGGATAAGCTAATTTCATGTGCCAAATATTTGACTGATGACATTCGTCAGATCACATCGTTTATTAAGGTACTATCAATATTTGTATTATATTATATTATGTACATTATTATTCTTTAAGAGGATGTCAGCACACGCTTGTTCTCACTCTCTCACCCACTCTCAACATAATAAAAACGTGGTTATGCAGTTTAAGTAGAACTCCCTGAATTTGGGTACTAGAGTAAAAATTTTTTAACACGTTGACTGCCATGCGACCGCCGGCGGCCGCCAGCGGCCATAATAATATGTATCATTGGTACGCCAAGCAAATTTTCCAGTGTCATTACAAATTTGTATATATACTATTGAATTGTATGTTAACTGAAAAATTCAAAAAAAATATTAAAAATATGTTTATTACATCAAAAAAATTGTAATTATTCCCACTACGCCACGGCGCATTTTTCAGTTCATTATTGTAGCGCCATGGAAAAGCTAATAATATAAATCTAAATTCATTTATGGCAGCTCGCGGCCGTATGGCCTCCTAGGAATGATATGGTGCGGCAGCCGGCGGCCTAAAAATTATCGATACGTAATTATTTTTATGTGGCCGCCGGCGGTCGCATGGCAGTCAACGTGTTAAATGAATAGATTTTAATATTTCAAAGAGCAACACTGCGCTTTTTTTTTCATTAATCCTAGTATAAAACTCAATATATTGCTTAGAAATAACGACCATTTCATCATTAAAAACGCACATATTTCAATTTTATAATACTAATAGCTAATAGGTATTTTTAATCTAAAACCAAAATTAAATGAGTTCTACTCAGACTGCTTAAATATGTTGCACGTGAGTGAGAAAAGAAAAAATCAGTACGTTGACATCCTTTTTATACTCCAATTTATGATTTGCAATCTAAATATAATTTAAGTTCCATATCACAATCAAAATTAGACACTTAAGTTTTAAGTATACTTTATTCGGAATGAGATTGTACCCCGGCTTCCAAGTTGTGCGCATGGGCGTGGCTTTGTCCGTGGCAGCTCCCAATGCGTGTCGTAGTGGGGACTGCGTCCGATCATATGTCTGACCGCCGCCGGACGAAAACTGGTCGCCGCCAAGGTACGATCTTATTCCGAATAGAGTATAGATCCCTCAAATTTGAACATGAATTAAAATTCACCTGATTATGTGTTTTTTGTTCACTTGTGTTCATAAATTTAAAAATCTGTGAATTTAATTCACTTATAATTAATTAGTAAATCACAGATATTTATTTCATGTGTATTTAAAACATAATATTTAGGTGCTAAACCTATTAAATTTTAATAAAATATTGAAAAAAGATATGTTAAGAGGCCGTCCTAGTAAAAGTGAAACGAATGCAACGCTCAAGAGATGGCGTTGTGCGCCGTATCGCCGCCGTCGCGGTAGGCCGTAACCACGCCCATCGTGTACGCGACGCGGCCCGCTTGTTGTAATCGCGGGAGAGGTACATTATTATTTCACGGACAGTCGTACAGTACGTTTCGCGTCATTACAGACCGTTGCGTAAATTGTCGCCTATGAATTCTACATGGTGCGCTGCCTCCTAGCTCATACGTCGCAAACCTACTTTTTAATTAAAGCTCCTGTTTGCATAAAAATATTAACCAATGAATTAAGCATAACAATTATTATATTCCATAACTCGATTTATATTTCTAACCCAATTATCTACTTCTTAAAATACAAGTAAAATAATAATTTCATTAGAATTAAATAGATTTTTTAGTAAAAGTGTAACGTATTTTACGTTGTAACTTATAAGTGACATGAAGCAATGTTTGTACGATAATTTAATCTATTAAATAAATATTAGCTACATTTTAAATAGGTAGTTTTGATTATATAGTTAATATTGATGTATTTTCTTATTTTAATTTTAAACATATAATACATATTACATATAATATGAAGTTGATGTTGTCCATAATGTTTATTAAATAAATATAAATAAAATAATATATTAATTATATAATTGCAATTTGTAGTACCTATGTAAAAAAAGCAATCTGTATAAACTAAACATGTTCATTGATCATAATATCATATAATGTATATAAATTAAAATTAAATTATGTACAGACCACATTTGTTATATATAATAGTTAGTTGAAACAAAACATTTAGATTAATGACAATTTATTATAATTGATAGGTAACTTAAATTAATGGTATAGGTAGCGTAGATAGTGTAACTGACGTATATTATATTCTAGTATACTACCTATGCTTTTATTTTATGAAATATCAATTATCATAATATGTACATTATATTATCTATATGTAAAAAGGGCATAGTAAGTTATGCATGTAATAATAAAATAAAATATAATAAACTAGCTGATCCCGTGCATTTCGTTTCCCGTTAAATGTACCTAACTCTAACCTAACTCTATATGACTCAAACATTGTTCAATGCGTTATTTAATATTCGGTGTATGATGTTCTATATTTATCTTAAATTTTCTGTTGCCCGGAATAAAAATTCTGAATTGCAGCAGCCAGCAGTACATTATCAGATAGGTAATTTAACCCGTGCTGTTTGTACGTAAGTGTATGATTTAACTCAAAAAGTACCAAAGTTATACCAAGTTTGACGTTTTTACTTAATTCCACCTACCTATAAATCTTAACCTAACCTAACCGTACTAAAATCCGATGAAAAAAAAAAACCAAATTTAACCCTTTTTAAATTAGCGTATCTTCTTCCCATAGGTCATTCATTTATATATAAGATATATTTACAAAAAATAATAATACAAATCAACAAACATGCCCGATTAACCAATAGCAACCAATATAATATAATATAATATACCATAGAGTAAATAAAGACAACGGTATCGAGTTCAAATCCCAGACATCAATAAATAGTTTTTGCAGTTTTTCTAATTATTCGGTTGACTTTTTAAAAATTTTCTTTCGTAAAAACCTTTACCTGGCAATTACGAACATCTTAAAAAAAATTTGAGCAAAATCGGCCCAGCCGTTCTCAACTGATGCAATTTCGAATTATTTGTCTCCATTTTTATATATATAGATAATATTATGCCCTTAGAATTTTACATATTTGTTTTGCGATGTAATAAAAAAACAATTATAGTCCCATGTAAAATTAATTTGTAGGTATACAAGTTAAATAAATAAATATATTAATAAATAAATATGATACAAATATTTGTATTACTTAGTTTTAAAATAATAAATAAAAATGGGTGCAAATATTTAATATTAAATATTTTTAATTTTTTAATTTTGATGGATTTAAACCATTAAATTTGGATAAATATTGGCTTTATTATTATGACGCTGAACATTTTTTCTTTCTAAAGAGTCTTCATCAAACTCTTGATTTTTAGTGTAATTATTGTGTTTATGAAACCTTAGTATTAGATTATGAGTAATGCTAGAAAAAAATCCCGCTAGAAGCTTTGTACTCCACTCAAAGGTTTGATATAAAAAAGTAATATTAATACCTGTGTCAACAAGTGTATCTACACCAAACGATAAAAATATTGAAGAAAATGCACAAAATTAAAAAAAAAAGCGGGTAAGTGGATGTCGCTCTGCTGTACAGTAAGTTACTAGGGGTCACTGTATAATGGAAGGTATTAATTTTGAATTCAATGAAATAATATCATTGTATAAGAAAAACGATTCTGAGCGGAGACGGTATGTCAGTTTGGGTAAAAGAACATAAATATTAAACATTTCGTCCAAATTTGAATTTAAAATGTCTGTAAAAAAAAACTGTGTTTATGTATTTTTTAGATTTTTTGGTTACAGTATGAACTATTTATGAGAATCTTTGTTTTAAATTTCCAATCCTTAGTTATAATAACTGAACATTTTATAATTTTTTAATTACAGTGATTGATAATTTTCGATATTTTGATAAATTTTGTCCAAATTTGAACTTCAAATGCCTATAAAAAAAATTGTGCTAATGTATTTTTAATATTTTGCGACTGCTAGTATAACAATATATCAGGAGCCTCGTATTAAATTTTCAAGCTTTTTCGCCCAACAAATACATTTTTATTGATATTTATAGAAAAAAAAAACTAAAAATATTGAAAACTGACAATGTCTGTAAACAGCTCAAAAATAGTCAAATTAATTTGAAAATTGAATGGTGTATAGAAAATGCTAATATAAACATTCAGTAAAATTTTCAAATATATACAGTCATTCGTTTTTTAATTACAACAAAATAAGAAAATCGTTACATGAGAAATCGAGCGAATATCAAATGTTGTAAAAATATGAATTTCAAACGGTCATAAAAATTTAATTTGACTTTCTTCTAGAAATTTTTTTTTTAATCAAGGTGGAAAAACTTATGAGGAATCTTGTATTACATTTTAAAATCTTAGAATTAAAAAGAAAATTTTTTATGAATTTCTAACTTAAAATAATTTGCAATTTTTTGTCATTTTTATGTATTTTGTCAATATTTGAACTTAAAATGCTTAGAAAAAAAAAATTGTAACTAGGGATTCTCAATTTTTATAGGTATATAATTATTACGGATAATTGTTTTTCTCAGTTCTATTATGGACCGATCTAAAATATTTGCCTCTCCCCTTCTCAAAAACTGAAATTACGCCACTATATTATACAAACCCTTCGTAAAGAATGCATAACTTCCACGAGACTCCATAAAAATAACAATTTTTTTTCAAATTATACATAGGTTGGTACATTTTATAGTCGAGTATAGCACTGTATTTATTACATTATAACCTATAAACTACGTACTTCATACTGATGACTTTAGTATAAAATACAATACTAAGTCATCTGGCTATTCTGGCTATATCAATGAATGAGTATAGGACATTATATATTTATATAGTTAGACTACTTAGACTAAAATACACGCGTACATCTTCGAATACAATATACAATAATAAATAGCGTAATACATAATTTAATAACTGGCTCCTAATAGTAGTTAAAAAATATTAATTATACAGTCACACTTTTTTTTTACAAGCATTTAAAGTTCGAATTTTGGCAACATAGAAAATACATAAAAATGAAGAAAATGTGCAAATTATTTTATGTTAGAAATTCATAACAATTTTTCTTTTTAAATCTAAGGTTTGGAAATTTTAATCGTAAGTTTTTTAATTTTATGAAAAAAATATCTACCGGACATTCAAATTGAATTTTTATGAGTGTTTGAAGTTCAAAATTTTACAACATAGGATAATATTGATATTATTCACATTTCACACAACCATACATAATTTATTATTTATCTCATTTTTATTAATTAAAAACTGTATATAATTTTAACAATTTACACTATATTTTATCAATTCCTATAACACTTTCACTCTTTCTGAGCTGATTACGGACATTTTCGATTTTTTTTAGTTTTATTTATTTTACAATGATGTGTGTTTTTTTTCTGTTTTGTATGGCCCTTTTTGGGTAGTAAAAGTGCTCCGATTTCCTAGATCAGCATCTTTACTGATAGAAAAGTGAAACTATAGTTGGTATTTTTGGGGAGTCAAAATTCAAAATTTCTAGAAGTTTTAGAAAGAGTTGAGAAAAAAAAAAAATAGGTGACTTTTATACAAAATCAATTTTTGAAAAATCGATTTTATTTTTTTGGTGTATCTCAAACCTAACTGTAGAACCTTGAAATTTTCAACAAATATTTATATTAGAATTCTCCATAAAACATTTTCTCAATATTTTGACTATTTTTGAGCTAGTTATAGGCTTGAGCCCTTGAGAAATTTTTCCATTTTCCTAAATTTTTTTAAAATTATCCTCGATAAAATCTTTTTCTTTTAGTAAAAAATCTTGAAAATGTAATGATAGGTTCCTTATAATTTTTATTAATGGAAGTTTTAAAAATACATAGGCTCAATTATTTGTTATATTCTTATAAAGTTCCAATTTTGACAAAATTCATAAAAGTTTTTTTTTCATACCTAACTTGAGACATTTTAATAGAAGGTTTCTAACAAGTTTTTGTAATTCTATCAAACTAAAAAAGTTCCCCAGGAAGCCACGTTTTCGATCTATGTTAATTTTTTTTTAGCTACTAAATTTGATTACTTTTACAAGTGTGATAGGCTGATACAATGTCTCCGCTCAGAATATTTTTTCGTTTACAATAATTTATCAATGTAATTTAAATATAACACATCCATTACAACGACATGCTTGACACCCACTGTACAGCAGAGCGGTACCCACTTGTCTACCTTTTTTCATATTGTATTAGGTGCCTACTATATTTATAGACTTATTAATTTATCAATATTATTATATTAAGTATAAATATATTACGTGTTTACTGTTTTATTATTAATTAATTTACTTATTCATAGTATTGTAAATACAAGGTACTATATTTTTAAGTATATTTGCGCGTAGCCCCCTTATACCTAGGTAGGTATATATCATAATTCATAATATTTAATATTTAAATAAATGCAACTACCAACTGACGATAATGACATTTTAGGCCCCACAAATTTACTCTGCCCCGGGCCCCGCAAATCGTCCGGACGGCCCTGTACTGTACTGATATTAGGAAAAAAAGTCCCCGGAAAAAAAGTCCCCGGTAAGAAAGTCCCACGGAAAAAAAGTCTCCAAATTAATATTTGATTTAAATTCATTATCATATAGGTATTTATATAGGTAATAGGTATATAGCCCATAGGTAATACATGTTACATATTTTATTGAACATAATTAACAAACAACTAAATTAAATAGCTACCTTACAATATGTCCTATAATATTATTTAAAAAATATAAAAATGTATTTATTTAGATATGTACCCTCGTAAAATAATTAAAAATTGAATACAATATGTCCTATAATATTATTTAAAAAATATAAAAGTGTAATTATTCAGATATAAAAGATCTCTTTCTTATATTTTGACCTATTTGCTTTAAAAAATTAGGAATATCTGCTGATTTGTCTTCATCAAAACGTTGACATAAAATGTTCAATCGAACTTCATTTTTTTTCAAGACTTTATTTTCAATGAATTTAAAATGTACATAATTATCTATATAAATACTTATCTACAATAATTTTTAATCCTAGAAAGGTACCTATTTAATTTAGTTGTTTGTTAATTATGTTCAATAAAATATGTAACATGTATTAGGTACCTATGGGCTATGTACCTATATAAATACCTATATGATAAAAGACTGAATTTAAATCAAATATTAATTTGGAGACTTTTTTTCCGTAGGACTTTCTTACCGGAGACTTTTTTACCGGGGACTTTTTTTCCGAGACTTTTTTTCCGGGGACTTTTTTTCCGTTTACCGTACTGTACAGTAGAGCGACACCCACTTGCCTACCTTTTTTTACTTGTACAATGTAGAGTTATGCTAATTTTTTTATTTATTTTTATTTTTTATATGAAATATACAATCTGTACCCTGAGGCACAATAAGAATATGGGCTAAATTACAATGACATGAGTGAAGTGTTTTGCTTCTTCTTGGACGGTTTATATTAGGTACGCTAATTTAAATTTAAAAAAATCTTGAATATCAAATCGCTAATTTGATAGAAGAATTGTCTATAATTGAAAAAAAAAAATTGTTTAAATCGTACGCTTTCCAGCTATTTGGTGACGATTTTATGATAATATTATAATATTATGTAGTTCCATTTTGCGTAAACTTCGCTAGTAATAAGAATACGAATTATAACATCGAAAAATAAAATAATATTATTCATTGACAGAATTATTATTTTCGTATCGACCGTATATATTTTCTATGGTATCGACGTATTTGGCTATTTATAATCCGTGCGCGGCTGCGATAAATAACCAGTTTTGACCTATGGTGCGGTACAGCTGCATATGTACGCGGGGTAGTGGTAGAAGTACTATTTCAGAATGCTGCCGCTGTAGTCGTTCTAGCAGCACATGACGACGGCAAATTCGTATTTTTTTTTCCCAAAACATGGTTTTGTACTTCCAATAGTTCTCAGGCCTCGTTGATCGTAGAAACATGATTTTGGTATCAAAATAATCACGAGAAGTTGTACTAAATATTCTTGGAACAGATTTTCGATATCTAATTTTGTCGATTTTATATAATTTTTTAAAAAAATGAAAATATAGTACAAACTTCAGATACAAATAAAATAGGTTAGAAAAAAAATTTTAAAATTCTGTTCCAAGAATATTTAGTACAACTTCTCGTGATTATTTTGATACCAAAACCATGTTTCTACGATTAACGAGGCCTGAGAACTATTGGAAGTACGAAAGCATGTTTTTCGGTCGATTTTTTTCTACTGTGACGGCCTCTTAATAATTTATTTCTGTAAAAAACTAAAAATATCTTTACATTTTTATTTTTATCTATTTTCATTTTATTACAACATTTTTGAAGCGAGATTAATGAAAAAGTTTTCATTGTTCAATAAATTTGAATATTTTTTAAATTGTTTTTGAAATGTAAATAAATTTCACAATAGATAACTGTAAAAAAAATTGCATTCTAAAATATTACTTTAGTGTGGAGATTCTGGATCAAAATAAATAATCGATCACCACTATGTAGAAACTAGAAAACCATTATTGGAAGATACTAAATGTATTGAAAATAAAATTCCACTTGTAAAAATAAATACGTGATTTAATAATAAAATTCACGGATTCACGTGATTGCATACGATAATTTTAATTTCCGTGAATTTAATTGCACGTGAAATAGAGACCTCTGGTTGTCAGTTTGTATTGACTCTTGGATTAAAAGTTTGTAAGATTTTAATAAGTTATTTTATAACTTAAAGTTGTATGTTAAATCAATTTATATTTTATATATTATATTACACCATTTCAGTCTATAATTTTTACTTAGAGAAATTTTATTATTTTTCTCCATTCAATATTGTCAATAGAAATCAAAAAAATAATGGCTTTTCTTTTAGCTATTTAATTAATTTTTAATTTTTTTTTGTAGGGTAATTCAACGTTATTGTTTAAAAAAAAATTAATATGTGCTGATGATGATGAAGATGATGATTATGAATACATAGGTGATGAGAATGGCAAAAAGCCAAATATAACTAGTGCTTCCATTAAAAGTGACAGTCCTTTTTCTGGACTTTCTACTAATGATAAAAAAGTAAGATATAGAAGTATCTTTGGGGCCTGGTGTTACACAGTTGTTGGTCGCCAAGCACCGTCCGGGTTACAATAGGGGTAACAACATTTGTCACACTCCCTCACCAAGGCTGATTTGTAATCACCAGGGCTGTAAATTAAATGCACTAGAAATGTGTTGAATATGTATTATGTATGCATATATGCACTAAAAACCGGCAAAATATGCACTAAAATATTTAAAAATAAAAATACATTCAATTAAAATTCATAAAAATTCTCTATAAAAACATTTTTTTTAAGAACTATGTTACCAAGTTGTTATAATATATTATGCACCTATTTATTTTTCTAATTTATTAAAGATTACAAATGTATATACGGGTAACCGATAAATTGTGATTTTACCATCGGCTCTATGAGACACAGGTTTTTCAGACTAATTTAAACCAAAAAAGACCAGTTTAAGGTTATATAAGACCAGTATAACCAGTTTAAGAAAATAGGCATTTATACTAAGAAATCATGAAAACATGCAATTATAATATGCTCTAACCCGTAAAATAATATTTTGTATTTGCACTAAAAAAAAGTCAAAACAAATTTTGGCTAAATCCATTTTTTTATACGGTGTACCAAAAAAAACCATGCAAATACATTAAATTCACAGCCTTGGTAATCATTCTGTATGCATGAACTTTTGTAAAATATTCAAAAATTATATATTGTTTTAGATATTTAATTTCTACAGTCATCAAATTGTCAGTCAATCTGATTTGTTAACTAGTCACATTAACACGTTTTTACGAATTGTTGAAGAGAACCGCCCACCATCAGTATTTGTTATGAAAGTCAAGTATATAATATTAATTGCACATCAACTGGTTGTTGTTGGTGATACAATATGTCGAAATGTACAAGAGTCAACTGTGAAGAATCATGTGGAACAGTGTTCAAAAGCTTTATCTGCAGGTATTTCGACAGTAGTTCAAAAATCTAAAATAGCTACGCAGTTATTTCCTAGTATAACTGCTGTACAAGAAATGGTAGACAGCGTTGTTGAAATTTCGCATATTGTGAATGATCTGAAAATATCTGTTTTAAAAATAAAATGAATCTGATGTTTGTCTGTAATCTGTATTCTGTTTGGTATACAGCTCATGGTGTTTTGTGCTGAAATGTATAGCAAATGGTCTACTATTGTACTTCATTTAAATCATGTCAGTTAAAATGAAAACGATATGAGTCCAGGTGACAATTAGGTGAATGTAGTGATGATAAAATACATTTTATATTAAATTCATAATATGTACTCAGTAATTTATTTTTAACGTTATTCTTCCATTAGTAAACAAACCATCAAAAAAAAAAAAAAAACAATTATTTACATTGAAAAATTACATTATTAGTAGTTATTTTTCAATCACTCATAAAAATTTTAGTGAGAGACACTGAACTTTGTCTATGAACTATTAAAAAAAAAATATCAATGAATGGGTAATAATATAAGACATTTTTCATCATACCTGGTTGTTTATTGATATCATATTATTACAACAACCATGGTAACAATAAAATAAATGTTGTGGGCGTTACAAAAATCAGTCTGAAAAAAATAGTAACCAAAACCAAAATATATTTATTTTAAAATATTAAAACTGATTGGTATTAAGATATTATTTAGTCGCTATAGCTGTAAGAATGTAGATGTTAATTATTTAACTTTTAAATGGTTCAATAAACAATTAATTTACTTGCATTACAACTAACGTCTAAAGATTTGTTACCATATTATAATGTTACACATGATTTAGCTTGTAGACTTAGCAGACATAGACACAGGATAATTTTTTGTAAATTTAAAGCAGACATTCTGAATATTTAAAATACCCAAAAAATAAATTGACAATAATTAATTAATATTTTAAAACTATATGACATCATAATATTATACTATTTATTTTTTTTATTATTTGTGTCTAAGTTTTATATGCTTAAATGTTAACACGAAAAAAGTTTTAAATGTCAATAAATGAAATTTGTTTGGCCAACAGTCTGCTCAAATTATTTTACTGTTGAATATAAATATTCATTAATAAAGGAATAGTGAAGTGTTCATAGCCTGTACTGTGTACAGTGTCTTTGTTAGTTTAAATCATTAATTTTGTTACTAATGGTTTATTTTACGCAACCTGACACAATAGTGACATTTATTTCCAACCCTCCAAAACTAGGCCAGTGAAAAAGTTTTAACTGACCCACAAACTACAGATTAATCCAATAATAAATTATTCATATTATCTTGTTAATTATTTAATTTTTGTTTATTGAGATTTATTTTGAAGTATAAAGTACATAATACTATAGCTCTACATTCAGTATTAGTAACTACTCTACAATTTTTTAATTATGGGGAAAATATATTACACTAAATTTAAATGTGTATTTATACTTCTATAATCAACATCATACTGCTACAATCATTACAAATTTGAAATATTTACCAATATATTCTTTGCGTTTCTATAAAACTAAAAACTATGAATGTGATTTTAAATTATATGGTCCTCAGTTTTTAATTTTTATATATTGGTAGATTTTTTGAGCTCGTAATGATTTTGATTTTTAAATTAATACATTTTCCCTTTAAATACTTAGTAATAATTTACTACTAATAAATAGTCAAATTAAATACTAAAATAAATGAATCAAGGTAGCTGTGGTTTTGACTTTTTTTAAATCAGTTTTATTTATTTGAAAATCTAGTCTATTTATAATTTATTTTAACCGTGGTGTATTTATTATTTTTATAAACATTTATATTTTATTCTGTGATTTTCATTTGTTCCTATCTGTTTTTTGTCCATACATATTCATGGTTAGGTTAGGCAATACATGTTGTATAACGTATTTTGATAAAAAAAATTATTATTTAATGAACCTCAATCTTTTTTAAATTTATATTTTTATTGCGTTTAATTTATGAATCCTCTCATGTTTAAATTTGATTTAAGAAAACTGCCGATATTTGTAGCATAATTTATAGTGGCTACTTGGCTTTTAGCTGAATAATTTAACATATTATTCATTCAAAGATTGACATATTTTATACATAAATGGCAAATCAATAGTGTGTTTTGATATATTTATAATTAATATAGTATTCAACTCATATAATATTCTTATGAACAATATACCTAGTATTTATTTATCGTAACAAGGTTGTGCAATATTTTATAGTAATACTTAATTTAATTATTAGATTTATAATTATGTGTATTTAGTTTAATATGACATGTTATTATCATTTAAGAACTTTATCTTTTTATATTAGATAGTTTATAATATAATCAGTAGGATATTTTAATTGGACCTTAAGAAGTTAAGTAATAGAGTCAAATATAATTACTAATTAACCAATGTGAGTAACTTATTAATATGTTCATATTTTTTTTTACTTTTATAATAATTAATAAATCTAAAATTGTATTAATAATTACTTTTAATATACCTAAGCAATTTTTTTTGTATTGTAGAAATTGACTGCTATGATGAGGATATGAAATAATTTAACAGTCCATAAAACAAGCAATATTTTTTACCAATTTTATAAGTAAATATAAATTATTATTTATTCAAAATATGGTATATACTATACACTATATAATATGAAGAATAAATAAATTAAATTGTTGTATCTATACCAAGTAATTTTGTTTCTTTTATTTATTATTATTATTTATAAACCAAAGGTACTGAAAAATTGAACCTTTTAATAATGATTAAGTCAAATAAATATTTTAGATTCTGAGTGAAACGATGAATGTATTGATTTTACAATGATGTGTTTTTTTTTTTTGTGTCTGTACACGATAAGTATTCAGTATAAAGCTTCGATTTTCAACTTCAGTATCTTGTTCGATTGGAAAGTGAATATGGTTGGTGCATTGGGGAGGTCAAAATTTAAAATTCCCGGTAATTTTCAAAAGAAAAAGGAAAGATAAATTAAGGAAAAACTGGAATTTTTACGCAAAATCGATTTTTCACAAAATTGAATTTGATTTTTGGTGTAACAAATTACCGTAGATACATTAAATGTTCACTGGTTGTTTATATTTGCATTTTTTATACACGATAACATTTTCAAAATTGATTTATTTTGAACTGTTTAGGGACATTTTCATTTTCCATTTTTTTAGTTTTTTTTCTAAAAATATCAATGAAATTGTATTTGTTGGTTAAAAAAAGCTTGAAAATTTATAAAATGTTCAACTTTTATATCTAAGGATTGAAATTTAAAACAAGATTCCATGTAAGTAGTTAATTCTGTTACCAAAAAATCTAAGAAATACATAAGCACAGTTTATTTTTATAGTCATTTTAAATTCAAATTTGGACGAAATTACATATTAAAAAACCTAGAATAACTATTTTAGTTATTTTATTGTGATTGTATAATATTTTTCGTGGGTACTTGAAACTTGTAAAATACACTATTTTATATCTATAATAGTATCACGGTTTGTTGATGTATAACGCGTTATAAGTACCTATTGGATATTGTGATATGATTAATTTGGAATTTATTATAGGCATATACCTATTATAGGTCAATTTTTTTTAATACCATAGATAAGTCTTATACCTAGACTGACATACCGTCTCCGCTCAGAATCGTTTTTCTTATACAATGATATTATATCATTGAATTCAAATTTAATACCATCCATTATACTGTAACCCACTTGTAACCTACGTCCTACTGTACAGCAGAGCACCTTTTTTTTTAAGTTTGATTTTAACCATTATATACATTTACTAAGAATCCATGTAATGAGATTAAACTAGAATTTGTATTAAAGATTTTGTTTCAAGTTTGAATTTAATCATATATCAAAATCTATTATGTAGGGCAATGAGCAATTACTTTCTAAAATTCTAACAAAAAGCTATGAGTATAAATGTTTTCTGGTTCATATTAATTATTGTCCAATACATTGAAAACTCATGCAGTTTTGGTCTGAGAAATGTTTTATTATTTTGATATATTATTACTTCTCTCGCTACTCACATTGATCTACTCATAAAGTAGAAAAAAAAACTACATTAAAACTATACATAAATACATAATATTAGATATTAAATATCCAATAAATGTTTTAGTGAGGCCAGTCGCCAATAAGCAAATTATGAATAATCAAAAGAAAACAATGAAATGTGAATTTCCTTTATAATATATTATAATTGTTTTCTACCAACTAAAATATACAGCCATCTATATAGCGAAGAAACTACTCTATAGTACATATTATTATATAAATTACGAAGTATATGCTTTATTTTTAACTAAAACTTAAAATAAATTTAAATTATACTTTTAAGTTTATTGTGAGTGGTATGAGATACAAGATAACCGAAGTATTGCGTAATGTTCAATCAACAGTATTTAAAGAAGCGTATTAATAATGTTACCGAGAATAATCTAGGTTATATAATTTATTAGTTATTACATAGACTACATTACTAGTGTATTTCTTACTAATTTGTTTTTATTTGATCATTCAATAATATATTTAAAAATAAAACAAAAAGTAGTGTTTATTATTTCTAAATTAATAGAAATATCAAATATGGGAAGTAGCCACAGATATAGTTGTGCAATATATATAACTATATTAGAAACAATATATTTTTATTTTTTATTTGATAATATTATTAATTTCAGTACATTTTATGTATTTAACTTTTATTTGTCATGTATATTTCATAGCACACCAATTAATAAATATGTAATATTATTCTGTTAAAGAGTTAAATTTAAAAAAAAATGTATCCAAACAAATTGATATTAAAATTGTTCTTTTTAATATTATAAGAAAAAAATATACAAATCATTAAGAATCAATTTCAATTTTTTTCATAGCATTAGACAAAGAGTCGCTACTCGGTATCTCGTCATCGGCACACAACAATGTGAAGTGTGATAAGTCTTTTTTCATTGCATATGCATCTTCACCATCAGCATAATATTTTGGTTCAATCTCAGAAATAGTAAATTTTAATGTATTAGTATATAAATTCAATGCGGCTCTGTTGCTTTTTCGCACATGCAATGATACATATTTGGCCTGAAAACATTCTACCATCGCTCTAGCTGCTTGATCCATCAATTTTTGTGCAAGCCCCAGTCGTCTATGTGATCGTTTGACAGCCAGTGATGTTATATGCCCATGAGGATTATCTTCACAATCTTCTTCCATTTTTGCCAAAACATACCCCACAATGTTTCCTTTTTCATCCTCTCCCACATAACTTAGTTGTGGCCAAGACAAACCATGGTAGAAGTAATACTTCATTTGATAATTTTCGGGAAGACAGAGCAGATTACAGTGCTGCATATTCATTAAGTCATCTGGTTTAGCACAGCGAATATTCATATTTTGGCAGTTGAGTTACTTAAAGAGTCTTTTGAGTTTTATTAGAAATATTAACTTCAGGTGTTTGTTGAGAAATAAGTTCCCGGACAAGTTTAAATTTTGACAAATATAATTTCCAAACCAAACACCAACCTATAAAAATAAAACAAATATATGTACTTACACAATTAATAAATTAGGTACAAAATTCAATTTTTCATCTATCATACTTAAATCTACTTAGGTTAAGTTACATACCTACAAAGTTAATTAAGTAACTATGAGGGACAAATTCGAAAATATTTTTATTCAAATATCCATTAAACTACATAGGTACTTAAGTAGGTACTTATATAATTTCTTTAGTTATAATTTTAATACATTATAAGAACATTGCTTGTTTTATAACAATGGTTTCTTTTATTCTTTTTAGTTGTAAACAAGATAAGAATAACTAATATTACAATTATAAATTGATCTTATTTCACTATAAAATTAAAATATCAAAAAATATATAATACTAAGTCTTGTATCTTTAAGTTTGACTATAGATCCATTCGAGTTTATATTAATAGTATGAACAAAGAAATGGGAATTGCTAAACACACATTTGTTATATTTTACGTTTGTAAGATGTATTTTGAGCAGATAGAAAATAGAATATTAGTTTTAGGTTTTTTATTATTATGATAAGTTAACATTTTATTCAAACAACAATAGGTATTTATTAAAATGTTATTGGTACCAGGCAAATTTATTCTTATGGTTTAATTATTCTTCATGATTTTAAGAAAACGCATCTATAAGAACATAACTTATTCTTCGGGGTGCCACCATTGGTTGACTTCCCCCTCCCATTAATCATCCCCTTCACATTTACTTATTGTAATATATATAATTATAGATTGTAAATAAAATTGTTGTTCAATAAAAAAAAAATAACTTATTCTTTTTAATCAATGGTAATATTCATTATTTTTTTCACAATAATTCAGAATATTAAAGAAATATATAAATTTGTTTTAATTATTACGGAACAACGCAAAGCCCAATATTGAAATTAATGAAATTTAACTACTTAAATGAAAAATTCAAAATGCTTGAAGTATTTTTTTAACACCAATAAAATAATGATTAAAATATTTGTTCTAACGCCATTGTAAATAATGTCATTGCCCAAACAAGGCAGTCATGTGTTTGTAGTTGAAATGCGAAAGACAAAAGATATTGACGGTGCTTACCTATGAGTATGAAAAAAATGACGACGATAAAAGATGCGGCTACTGAAGCTAAAATGAACAACCACTCCATAACATAATTCTATAAACTTCAGAAATGAAGACGGTACACTACTGTCTACTTTAATAAAATTATTAATGACAAAAATCAACTTACTTAAGTCTCAAATGGTCAAATACAACATTTCGACATTTCGTATCAAATTCACATGTTATTATCAAAGACAAACAGTCTGATTGGTCTGATCATCATCGTGGTCTATATCATTAGCACGGTTTTAACATGTAGATAACATTATACAACACTGATCATTAGGGATCACTACCTTTTGTTCCACAATTTTTTGTTACAAGTCAACTTGTTCCAATGAAATTCTTAGATCATATACTAGATAGCATGAACTACTACACAGGACTGGACACTACAGAGAAAATCACGGACACAAAGTTGTACAGGGTTCGTACACATGCGATGTAACTGCACTCTGCCTGTTAGTAGTACGAACTACGTTTTTTATAGGATAACACTAAAGAATAGTGATATTAGTGATAATAACTGATAATAAATTTACTTTTTAATTTTTGAAAAACAATTATTAATAACACAGTTCAAGATAATAATGATACTATTTATAGAATATTATCAGAAAATAATTACTGCTTAAAGAGTGAACAGTTTAAGCATGAACTACTAAGGCGGTATTTTATATAACAAAATATTTCTTATCTCACAGATGGCGCTGTGTCGCATGTGTACCGAATATGTACAACTTTGTGGACGACCCCCTACTCTCCTCCTGCCAATAGTGTCCAGTCCTGTGTAGTAGTTCATGCTAGATAGTATATGATCTAAGATGAAATTACGCGATGTTAGTGATAACGTGTTTTCGTTTTTCCAAAGACGTTGTAATAACTCGAAACCCAAACAAACATTTTACCCATAAGAAATATACAGGGAATAATTTGGAAATTAATTAATTAATTAAAATAAGTATTAAGTACATTATGCACTCAATTTTGAGTGCATATTATTCACCGTAAAAAATGGAATTATAAAGTTATTCGATTCATACTTAATTCTTTTGTAATTTTAAATTTACTAAAGAAATAAATTTGGCGGGAAAAAAGTTTAATTACAATTAATGTATACTATAAATATGTAGGATATAAATAATATGTACATTTTGCAATTTATTCTACATAGGTATTATATTCCTTCTAGTTTTTTATTAATCATTAAGAATGGATTATGGATATCTATGTATCAATATTTAATATTATGATGTAAATTATTATTTATTTTAGTCAATAGTCATTACACATAACTCAATTATTGTCTCAAGTCAAAAGCCTGTTCATATTTACTTAATTGTTGTAATATTTTTTTATTCAAAAGTATACTGTACTTTATTATTTATAAAAATATTAATATGGTTTACTGTTGAGCTGTTGGATGTAATCATCACAAACAAAGAGAAAAGTGTAAATTTTTTACACTTCCTAAAGATCTAAAATCTCGTAACAGGTGGTAAAAAATTACTTAAGTAAGTATTTTCCTCCCATTTATTATAATTTGTAATACAAAATAATAATATATTCCAAATGGTACCTAATCTGTACTTAATGTAAACAATTATAGACGAAGTGACCAACCTGGTCGTGGATGTGTTGATGTGTTGTTTGTCATTTTAAAAATGGACTTAGAATTAACGGTCCGGAGTTGCAAGACCACTTAAAAAAGGCTTTTGACAATGAATTTCCCCAACCTCCCCAAAAAAGAAGAAATCAAAGAACCAAGAAAGTAACCATACTTACAGATATGCAATCATGCAAGATAAATAGGTACAGAAAATGCATTAGACGTTGATAAGTAGGTACCTATGTGGCTATGTAAGAAACTTTGTTATTGAAGAATATTAATCGTTTTATTATAATATGTCTAGGAATATCAAATCTCAAGTTGAAAATTCAGAAATTCAAATATTGAATTTGAATAAAAAGATGGATCCATAGGCTTAACTAGCCCTTTACTTTAGGGGGGGCTGGAGTCCTAAAAAAATTTAATAGAAAAATGAGGTACCTATGGAAACATAATCGCCCCTACACAAATATAACTTTATTATACATTGACACACTTACAATCTACTGTACAGCAGAGCGACATCCACTTACCTGTTTTTTAAACTTGAATTGTAACTTTATTTTTATATAATAATTAATAACAGTAAATAAAATAAACACAATAGTCTATATTATGTAATATTGTATTATGAAATATAATAAAATAGTTATGAAGATTACAAATCTATACGCCTATTCTTCAAAGCAAAGTTGTTTAAAATGTTTTCTGACTCGATAACATTTGAAATATCTCTTTCAATATGTAAAATTGACATATCAGTAAATCTTTCCTGGTTCATACTAGATCTGATCCATGTTTTTATTCTCCGCATGACAGAGAAAGAACGTTCACAAGAAGCAGAGCTGATGGGCAGAGTTAAAGCAACTTGCATTAGTTTATATAAATTGGCAAAAACGTTCTGGTCTATTTTTTGTAATACATCACTAAGAGTAAAATCAGAATTTTGAATACTATTTTTAATTACAGTCATTTCAGCTTCTAATGATTCAATATTAATATCCAACAATTTCTAAATATAAAATTAAAAAAATTAGTAGACATATTATAATAAAATAATGAAATGTGAATAATTACACATTTTAATTTTCAACTTTGTATATAATTTTAATTAGATATATACCTCATAATTTTGTATGAATGGTAAACTTTCTTTGAATTGTAATTTAAAAAAACTGTCAACAGATGATGCTAAACGTAAACTTTCAGATGAAAATCTAGTTTTCATGCTGGTAATAATTGCATCCAGAATTCTATAATATGCATTAATTTTCCAGTTTTCTTGATCCGATATATTTAAGGAAGGCTCATCAAATTCTGAGTATTCATACCCAGTAGTAGTAGAGGTACAATAATCTCTTAAATATGTGCTTTCTTTTCTTTTACGCTTAGAATTAGAGCCTTAAATTAAATACATAATAATAAACCAAATGCCATGATTAATAACATTTTAAGAATAATATTAATATAATTAAAAAAGTAGGTACCTCTAGAAGGTGTTTCAATTGGTATATTATGTTTTTCGGCAAAATTTGTTATTTTAGACCATATTTCAGAAAACTTATTGGAGCTTCTATAATTTTCAAATGTTTGAATAACTCCAAAAATAATATTAGAAGCTTCACCTAATGTGGAAGTTTTTTTTTGTAACTGGTTACTCAGAATATTTATAACTTTAAGTACATCCTGAAGTATAATTAAATAAATTATAAATGATGCTTTTTGAATAGAACTTAATAAGCCTAGAAAAATTAAGTTTGGATTACATTTCCATATGCAAGTAGTAAATCAAAAATGTTAATACTTATTAATTACGAACCTATAGCCTGAGCTACATCCATGTCTTTGTTTAAATCAACTTCATCGTTTAAAACTTCAATAAGTACTTCAAAATTGTTATAAACTGCATCACAGTTCTGTATTCTACATACCCAACGTGTATCACTTATAGCCATTAATGTGGTGGCTTTAATATTGAGTTTATTTTGCATTTCTTTCAATTTAAAATTAGTTGATGGCCGAGAAAAATGTACATATAATGCTTCAATAGAATTGAAAAATTGTTTTGCTTCCTTAAAAAGTGAATTACATTTTAAAATATAGGTTTATATTTTTATTTAAAATGACATGATAATAGAAATTAATTTAAACATTTCCAATGAATAGTAAGATTTTTGAATAATTTAAATAAATTCTAAGTACAATAAAATCATATTAGGTACCTTTATTATTTTTGTATTTTTATTCGATAATTATTTATTGTTTATATTGATGTATTCGTTTATATGATACATTATATTTTTTGACACTGCGGGCAAAAATAAAGTTAATACTAATATGTTTTTAGAGGCACATACTGACATACATTTACTCGAAAAATTTGGAGGGGCTTTAAGTAATTCTGGGGGGGCTGAAGCCCCCCCAAGCCCCCCCCTAGTTACGCCTATGGATGGATCTGAATTTAGATTCAAAGTTAGTACTTTTATTATTAAATTCATCTATACCTTTTCAAATAGATTAGATATTTTATAATGCTTCATGTACTAAAGTTCTAGGACAAAGTGAGTGGGCCAACTTCGCAAGTTCAAAAGTTCATAGCGGCCGCCTGATGGACTTTCAAATTTCAAAAAGGGGCTTAAAAATACTTGCTAATCATTAGCTTTCGTTTGATACCGATTCCGAAGTTCTCGGTCAAAATGGGTGGGCTACTTGAAGTTGGCCCACCTTTACATATTTTGGATTCACAGTGAAAGTTTGGACTTGCAAATTCTAAAAATTGACTTGCAATTACTTGCAAATAACTTGCAAAATAATGGCATAGATTTAAAAGAAATTGAAGTACTTAGGTGGGCAAACTTCACGAACGTACCTATGTGAGCGGTTAATCAAAGTTCAAAACCTTAGTAGTAGAAAACCGGTTTTAAAAACCAAAAACGAAACCGCCAATTTTTTTTTTTGGTTTCCGTCCCTGGTTATAAGTTTATAACTTATAAAATAAATGCGGAATTATAAAAAATGTATTTAACAATTTATTTTACTATAATAATATATTGTATTGTTGTATGTAATTATTTTTTGCTAAATAAATAATATATTATTATTATATGCGTAATTATTATGATATTATTGGTGTATTGTTTTGAGTGTTCGAGTAACAATACTTTAAGGAATAATTAATATACACATTGTTAATCGCCGCACAAAAGGACATAATGATATTGTAGTAATCGAGGTACTACGCAACTGTTAAAATCATCCCAAAAGTTATTATAATATCTAGTACAACATGCTAGATTAATTACAAATAAAATAATATTAAATTGATAGAAATTAAATACGTAATAATATAATAATATATAAATAATTATTATTCATATATTTTATAAATTATAATCGGACTGTAGTGAAAAAACCGAAGGTTAATAAGCGAAATGCGATTCTAGGAATCACACAGAATAGAATCGGCGGATGTGTGGCATACACATATATACATATAGCGTATGTTGCAAATATTAAAACTAGATCAATATAATATATGATATTGTAATACGCAGAATAAATTAGGACTGTTGCAAATGCGGTCAAAAAGGGTTTAGGCCACATCCGGCGGCGAAGACTACAATCGGGAAAAATAGGATAAAGCGTTAATAGGCAAGGGGAGCGGGGGTAGAACTTTATATAATAGAGGTCAAGAATTTAGTTAGTTGTTTTTTAAATCTATATAAAATTTAAAATTATAGATTATGTTTTTGAGTCCCTCATAAGTAAGTCATTTTTTTTTTCACAATAGTGACAAATTTTAAATAGTTACATTATTGGTATCAATATTTATCTGAAACTATTTATTTATAAAAAAAATATACATAAAATAGATATAGGTATTACATAATCAATTCCATATTTCTTTTTTTAACTTCTGAAAACCGTTCAATGATTTTATCTGTTGATACTTATTTTTCCTTATGAACATGAAGTAAAGCTAAACCATTCAATCTATCTTGACACATTCGCGATCTTAACCAATCCTTTAACCTAGATTTAAAACATTTTAGTAGAAAAATAAGATTATTTGGTTATATTAATTTAATATTATAATTTTAAATGTATATGGATATACCTGCGCAAAGTAGAAAAACTTCTTTCAGCTGATGCAACACTGATGGGTAGACAACCAATAATTAAAAGCAATGTTTTAATATTTGGGAATAGTACATCCTGACAAGTGACAATGATCCAAACCATCTATGACAGTAATTGGTATATGACCTCCTTCTCTAAAGTTTCCTTCATTAATAACAGATGTGTTTGAACTAGCCATAGTCAATAAACCACCATCATCTCTATGTCCTCTTAGAGGAATGTTTTGTCTTGCCAAAAAAATAATAGTTTCAATAATTGGTCGAATTCTTTCTCCATTTTCAAGTATTTGGCGTTTTCTCTCACTATCAATCATATTAATAACTTCTTTTTCAGGTTGCTCATATCGGGACAAAAATTCTTCAGCTTGTAAAACTGCATTTTTATGATATAAATTATTTTGGTGAGATTCAAAATCTCCATCTTTTCCTAATAGTTTAGCAAATGTATTTAATGGTACAGTGACTAATTTTTTTAAAGGTTCAGTATTTCTCCACCCTCCTTTATTATTAACAAGAAAAAGTACACAAAATTTACAGAATAACCCAGATTTAATTGATGAATATGCTAACCAAGGACATTTTGTAAAGTGAGATTGATTTAAGAATCGTTTGCCTTCTTTGCCTTTTTTAACATGTGTTGAAAACGGATAAATAAAATCAGTTTCAGGCAAATCATTTTTTTTTAACTAAACGATATTTTGTATTTTGATTTATTGACATTGAGTTTGTATAATATCCAATATCGTCAATAAAAGTTGAAGGTTCTAAAATATTATTTGCTATAGTGCAATCAGTATTCTGTTTATTTTCAGATAGTTGAGAAGTAGATGGAATCGGAATATTTATGTTTTCTATTTTATTAATTGGTTCTGTCGGTTCTGATAAAATATGTTTTTTGTTAAAAAATTTAGAAATATTTACTTGTTTTCTTTTTGCAGTTGTAGTTTGATTTCCATCAGAATTGCTCATTGTGATAGTGATGTTTTTCCGATTATCGGAAACACTCAAACACGTCGTTACCGATCGAAAATCGGACTAAAACTAAACAGTAAACACTAAACGAACTTATTAAATTCAATCGATCTATATAATCGATCTAATAATACTCCGACCGTTGATGTTTAAGCGTCGAGTGTCGATGGAAAAAAGTAATCGTTATCTGCACTTCTGCAGACTGTCGTTTGAAAATCCCGGCTATTGCGGTGGAAAACGCAAGCCGAACGGCGTTTTTTGCCGCCCCGAAAAACGTGGCGTATTACGCCCGTCGTGTATAGCTGCTCCGATTTAAACCAATGCGTTTTTAATTCGACGGAAAACGATGCGGAATACGCGGCGTTCGAAACGCGGCGGAATACGCCGTGTATAGCCCCAGCCTTAGTCCCAAGGTGGGGGGTGGGGCTACTGCCCCTTTAGCCACCCCTTTAAACCCGCCCTTGCCTACCGTAGGCATAAGTACGTATCGATAATAATGATGTTTGGGAAAATAACCCGTTAAATAAACGACGCGGTCATACTCTCGCTAGCTAGCAATAAACGACGTCGTAACCGTCGTCTGGGCAATGTTTGTATTTTTCAGTGACCGCCTAGACCGAAATTGTTTTTATTAACTCACTTACAGTTTTGTCTCCAACAGTATAAGATACTTGTCCAACTATACCAAAAAAAACACTGTAAATCACATAACATGGCCACGACGGAAATCGATATCGAGGCAATTCTGAGGGAGTTGATTAACACGCTTATTGATGAATTTACCGTCGATGAGGCAGACGAAGCGCAGTTTTTCGACTAGGTACGACGAAAATCAAGAGGGTATTGACTATTGACAACGTGAACGATCAAGAGCACATCGACGTAACGGTATTTTTATAATATAAAATCTAATTTTCGAGGTAGTCTTGCAAATCTGTTAATGACTTCGTCAATATCAATGTTATCATTTCTATAAATATTCGTGAGCACTAATCCTGTCAGTCGGTCTTGTCCAATATTATTTCTCAAATAGGTTTTCAGTCTCCGCAATGTTGAAAATGAACTCTCTGCAGTAACAGTCGTTACAGGCAAAGTAGCTAATATTGTTAAAAAGCACTTTATATTCGGATAGAAATCACTGTTAATTTGACTTAAGGTAGTTAATGAACATTTTGGGCGATCATCATCAGATACAATTTGCCACTGTGTTTGCCAGATTTTAATCTCAGTATCAAACGTATCAAAATTAGGTAATAATGGTTTGTAAAACAGTGCACATTCCTTAAATTTGTTTAAATATGTAGTATTTTGAGTTATGTACTTAGGAATTAATGATTGTAAAGTGGACATTACACGATGATGTTTGGAAAACCTGTCTTCTAGTTGAAGAATAAAATGATCCAATAATGGCAAAAAAATAGTACGTTTATAGTATTGTTCTGGTGAATCGGCTGGCGTGTTATCTCGACAAGTTTGCCGACCTGCTGTTCTCGGCAATATAATAGACTTAATATCACCTTCAAGCATGGCTTTTTCGCAATCAGAAAAAATATTTTTAAAACTCTCATCTGAGTTACTCCTCTTTTCAATTAAAATTGTACGTACGTCATCAACTCGTTCCTAACAATAAGATAAATCGATATTGACTTTTTGTAATGCTATGCATAGGGGTAAGGTTAGAGAAAATATATTTTCAATCACGTGTAAAGAAACTACAAAATTCGAAGTGCTAATGGCACTAGATAATTGAAATGCAGCATTTGATGTTTCAATATTATAATTACTCTCCAATTGTTTTAAAGCATGGTAAATGCTCAAATACAACTCTTTGAAACGAGTTATACTTTCGTGACGTTCAATCCAGCGAGTTTCACACATTCGTATTAAAGTCAACTGGCGACTATTAGGAACATATTTTTTAATATTTTCAATTAAAATACATGATCTCTGTGAAGAAGCTCGAAAAAATGTAGTGACTGAGGAAACCGTTCCGATACAATTTCTTTGATTGTAGATAAAGATCGAGCACTAAACGAGAATGTCATTCATATTACGAATAGGCAATGCGGGAAATTAAATAAAACCAAACTAACAAATAATAAAACTTATTTCTTGAAATTTAGGGGGGGTTTGAACCCTTAGAACCCCCCCTTGTATACGCGCCTGCCCCTGGTTCTACTAAAATAAATCATTTTTTTAAGTTAAATATATTTGAACGGCGCTTACTTCATAACTACTTGATGATCCATTATAATTGTATTTATTTCATCATATATTAAGACATTAAGTCGTGTTTGTTAAGTAACTTTTTTTTTCATCTCTGCAATCTACGAGTAAATAGAGCATTATTGCGTCCTTATAAAAATTGTTTAGTAAATGTCAATCAGTATGACTGTATGAGTGAAGTAAAATATTTGTGATTACAGTTCACAATAATATAAGATTTAATTTTTACAAACTGATCAGTACGAATAGTACGATCTATAGACAATTTTCTGCCGAGTTCAAATTATTTTTCATAGGTAACTAAAATTTAACATCGTAAGCTAACTTAAATTGTATTAAGACTTAAAGTATTTGGAGCTAAAAATGATGGCAGTAGAGACTAGTGAGGCCCCTTATATACAGAAATTTGTTTCTTTTATGTGTAACTGACATTTATATTTTGATGATTTTGGATATTGCCTTGTAAAACGATGACTTCATATAAATTGTACTATGTTGTTGTGTACTAGGTACTTAAAGTTGTCATCAAACGTTCAAATAATTTTATAATGTGAAATGGTTTTCAAATAAGTATTTTGAATAATTGTGCGTCTTTTAAAAACATTTGAAGTGTTTGATTTTATTTTTTCTATAAATATCATTTTTGTTTGCAAAAAAAAATCTTGAACATTTTATTCGAGGTTCCTTTGTATAAGTAGTTCTTACTACATTTATTTATTAGAAAATATGATACAATCATAAACCACCTAACCAAAAGCCTCAATGGTAGAAAATTGATTCTAGTAAAGGTATTACTTTGATGTATTTTTTCTAATATAATCGGGAAAAAAATTTAAAAATATAGTTAATATATTAATGGATATACAATGATTTATCTTTGAATTAAAATATAACACACATTATTACTAATGTAAATATGGAGGTGAACATTCTTGGCTAAACAATCTGTAAATTTAATTTATATAATTATATTATTTTTACTTAACGAATAAGTTTATTAAAACTTTTAATGGACATAAATATTAGTGATGTATTTGAATCATGTGTAAAATACTAATTAATAAACTATACAATCTGTTAAAAATAATGTAAGCAAATTACCATAGAAGTTGCAACTAAAATTTAAAAAAAAATAATAAATAAAATATACCATTTACGCATAGGTATCTCAATAGCCGTACTCACCAACTGAGGAAATATCGTCACCAAACCATTATTGCCCAACTGATTCGAAGGCGGTGCAAACCATTTGCATCATCTGACAGCGTATAGCTAAACAAAGTGTCACCAGAAGAAAATCAAATAGGAATGTTACTATGACAGTGAAGACAACTAACAAAGTCTCGACTATGCGAAACATATCGTAGTGTGCATTGTACGTGTCGTCGGATACAAATAAATACAAATTGAATAAGTTATGGCGGTAATTGCTGATTGAACCGTCATGATTTTTGACCGGTAATATTATAACGTTCGACAATGCCAGGGAACTAAAAAAGTAAAGTGTCAGTGACGTGATATATTTGACGAGCAATATAGTCGTTATAAGCACGGATCGTTCTCTCCAACGATCCAGTATATTATGTCTGTCTCGGAGGCTATGCGATGTTAAGCCGTAGCACGTGATCGACAAATAGTTCCATATGTCGTTCGAGTAGTGGACACACATTGAATAGAACATGTACACAAAGGTGGGCATTAACTAGTTGGAAAGTTAAAGTTCAGTTAAAAAGTTAATTTTTTTTTAACTTTTTAACTTAACTAGTTAGTTTATTTTCTAATCAACGTATGAACTTAAATAGTTTAATTTACAATTGAAATAACTTAGCTTTTCTCAGCTTTTTAACATTAAGTTAAAACATTTTGAAATTATTCGTTTATACCTACTTAAATATTATGAATTTCGAACTCTCATAAAAATTTAATTTGACTTTCTTATAGACATTTTTTTTTTTGATAAAGGTAGATAATCTTATAAGGAATCTTGTATTACATTTTCAAATCTTAGATTTAAAAAGAAAAATTTTTACGAATTCTCAACTCAAAATAATTTGCTAATTTTCGTGATTTTTCCATATTTTGTCAATTTTTGAATTTTAAATGCTTATAAAAAAAAATTGTGACTAAGGATTATTAATATTTTTCATTTGCCTATGAAACAATATACTAATAGCCCTCTATTTAATTTTCAAGCTTTTTTAACCAACAAATACAATTTTATTGATATTTTTAGAAAAAAAACTAAAAATATATGGAAAATGAAAATGTTCCTTAACAGTTCAAATCAAATCATAATATTTTGAAAATGTTATCGTGTACAGAAAATGCTAATATAAACATTCAGTCAAAATTTTATGTATCTACGGTCATTTATTTAAGGGTTGCACCAAAACCAAAATTATTTTTTTCGAAAACGGATTGTGTGTAAAAATTCCCGTTCTATTTTAATTTTTCTTTTGTTTTTCACGGCACTTTTGAAAACTTCTAAAAAAATTATACTTTTGACTCCCCAAAGTACCAAAATTCCATTAGATGGATAATTACGAACGTTTGGATGTATTTTATAAGGATTTCGCAGAATTTCTGGCAGGGTAGTCATACATAAGTACATAACACATTAACACACACACATATTACGTATATATATTCATATTCAGTATTCACATCTAAGTTATTAAATTAATTTGGATGGGGTAACCTCGTTTAACTACATTTACGATAGTAAAAAAGTATTTTATGATTGACTATCAATTATCATGATAATAATAATGAATATTGCGGGGGGAAAGTTCGCAGAGTACCTAGTCAAGTGCCTACCATGACTACCCCGTGAGCACCACTGTGTGTATTATTTTATATTATACAATTGAGGTACTTTATGAAACACATTTATATCATATTGAAATCAATTCAATTATAATTGTTGAGTTCAACGAATAGAACAATTTAATTAACGAAAAAACCTAATTAAACACAAACTTATTTTAAAAAGTTTTTTTTTATATAAATATAAAAAAAAATAGACCGCTCGACCATTCCGTCCCCCATATTATACGATTATTATACCTGTTAGGTATAATATTATAGGGTATTACCACAATACCACTGGGTATCCTAACTAATCACATGATTCATGTTAACCTTTTATTATTCACTTACCAAACCTAGGTACTTATTGTATAAAAATTAATGTATAGATTGTAGATTTATTTAAAAAAAAAAAAAAAAAAAAAAATTATTTGATAATATAATCACTAATTAATAAATGCGTAACTAAAAAAAATATAATTAATCAAAATATCTATAGGTACTGCAGGGTACACACCACACGACTTTTTTTTTATCCTGGCATGATTTTGTTGGTGGCACAGTCCGTCGGGGGGGGGGGCAGTACCCACCCGGCCCCTCTTGTAAACAACTTCTATATTCACAATAATATCATCAAATATACTTAGTAATATTATAGGCTGACTGACCGTTTTCGCTCAGAATCGTTTATCTTATACAATGATATTATATCATTGGATTCAAATTTAACACCATCCATTACAGCGATCCACTTGTATACTACTGTACAGCAGAGCGATTTTTTTTACATTTAATACAGGAAACGATAATATTACCCAATGGCCAAACAAACGTTTCTATTATCAATTTTATTTTTTGGTTCGAACGTCTATAAGAACGACATTAATAATACATTAGCACATCATATTTTCATACCATATCAATATGTATCCATAAACCTATTACATACTTAGGACAGTAAAAATGCTTGGATTTTCTTCAACAGTATCTTTTCTGACAGGAAATTGAATCAATCTGGTTGGTACTTTGGACGGTCAAAAGTAAAAATTTCCCAGTAGTTTTCAAAAGCACCGTGAAAAACAAAAGAAATATATATTATTAATATTATTTGAATTATTATGAGTATTTATTTTTATCTATAAAAATCCAATTTTGGACACTAATTTATTACCTAGTGCCTGGTTCCTAACACTTATAAATATTTTATATTTTTATATTTAAAAGAAATTGTTGTTTTTAGTGACTTAAAATGGTGTAAAAAAACGTTCAAAGCTTATGAAATAATTAGTGTCTTACATTAAAATTAATATTTAATATCCAATAAATTGTCATATTATATAACATATTATATATTATCTAGTATAGGTACTCGTATTGAACACGTTACAAATACTTTATTTCTATTGATAATATATCATGCCCTATAGTGGGCTCTGTGCAATAACATATATGTATAATATACAGCATAATATATATTTTGTTAGCTAGTTAGCTAATATTATTATAGAATAAACATAATACTTATAACATTACAATCTGAATGAGCAAGATTGACAAGAATTCTAAATGGCAAAACTATACTCTAATATAGAACATTCTAAAGAAAAATATAAAATTACTAAGCAAATTGGAGAAATTCAAATCCACGGAGACCTTTATTACACATCGTTTTTCTCGTAAAATCGCAGGGTTTTTGATTTTTTCGATGTAACTTGTCGTTACATTTTTTTGGTCATTGATCAAAAGCTTAAAAATTCAATAATATCAAATAAAACCAAATAAATTACATAACAATAATAACGTTTATTAGTATAAATACTAAATGTAGGTACACAATATTACGG